CTACCCGCAGGATGAATGATCCGGTTTACAGTCACAAGAGGACACAATTGGAGTCCCAAGCAGGGCAGTGTATTAGAGGCAATTAAACAGAAAATCCGAAGGCTATCCGGTGGCAGGAGCTGCTCATGGGGCCACTTGAGGTCCACCTGGGGTTACCGCCAGTACGTCCGGGTCAGTCCACGTACAGGTCCACGTAACCCCCGCAGCTGCCCCTGTGCCAGTGAGCCTCCGGCGCTGGGTCTCAGCATAGGGAAGATAGCATAGTCCCGAGTTAGGGTAGCATAGCCCAAGGAGCGGAATGTAGGCTCCCACCGGGCTTCCACAGTGTTGGAAGATTGCACGGTGACTCTCAGTGGTCCGTTACCCCCCCTTTTCTTGTCTGCACCCGGACCGTGACGGCGCCCAGCGTGGCGCCAGTCGTGTGGCGGGAGACTAGACTGAGGTATCTTGACTGGCTTAACTTGAAGTTGGCAGTGCAGTGGGCTTGTATCTTGAGTCTGGCTTTAGGATAGATACAGCGATCAAGTTCTCCAGGCCGGCTGTCTCCTGCGTGTCCAGGTTCTTATCCACTGGACCCGGGTGATGCGCCATGACCTGGCCGAGTTCCCACAGGAGGACGAGGTCAGAGGTACGTCGATTGATCCTTTCGGGGACTTCGTGTGGGTGGGCCTTGAGGCCCACTCAACTTACCCTGTATGCCAAATTATTATCTTGATTGACTAGAAAGCTACTTTGTACAGGTAATCTTCGATTAGCCAGGAAAGTAGCGCCCAAAGGGGAGAGAGAGAATGAGCTGCTATTTATTATTGCAGCTCAGTCGATACTCGCTCCTTATAGCGCACGCTGCGCCTTCCCTGTAATTCGCAACTCGTAGAGTAAGAATTTTGGGAAGCGTAGCGGAGCAGAAGTTTCCACTAATAGCACGGTGGTGTGTTCTGCGTCCGGGAGTTTAGGAAAAAACATAGCGTCTTGCCATCGAAACCAAAATCGACGCGGTCTGGACCGACGCTTCAATTGGGGTATTCCTCAGGTCAATAATATTCTATGTACGCTAACTCGACGCTGGTGCCGCGCGCCGCGCGTGGGACCCCCCCTGGGGGCTTTCGAAACGAATCGAAACACCGTTTTCGCGCGTCAGCGCGCGCGTCTCGGCCAGAAGATTGGTTCGTAGGGTGTACCAAATCCATGCGGACCCGGGCGCGGCGGGTCTGCGCCGTCGGGCGACGTGAGTCGCGCGCGATCGCGGCCGAGTTCGTCTCGGTTAAACGACCGAAGCCGGCGCGCCGCGCGCGCGGACAGACGAACGAAACTCGTAGCCTCAACGATCGTTCGTCGAGTGCGAGCGGCTACGATGATGTGTGGCGTTCGTTCCGGGCTCTGCGGGGCGAGCTAGGCGGTGCCCGCGGGGCTCGACACCCGCGCCTTCGTGCGCGGCCGTCAGCGGTCTTCAAACCGCAGGCGGTGTGGCGCCGCAGCGCACGCACGACGTCAAACAACACGCACGATGTGACCACGTACATCAAGTCTAACAGCACGTCCGTGCACGCACGGGACGACGTCGCCTCAAGCTCACCGCGGCGCATCGCAACCGTCACTTTTGCCCTCACGATTCACGTCGAACGTCAACTTCGACGACACGGTCGACGCCGTTGCCTGGTTTTGCGAGGGGGCGCGCGACCGAGGCGCGGCAAAGGCCTCCCTGGCCCAGTCCCCGCACCTCCGCCCAATATGGCATATTTTCCCGCATCTCATTGCTCTCCATAGCCCTCCTCCCCGTAAAACGAGACGGACAGTTATTGCGTGCGCGAAGCTTTAGCTGTGGTTATCATGCTCTTATCTGGCCGGCGCTGCTGAAGCAGCCCGCCGGCGAAATTCTTTCTCCCCGTGGCCAGCCGAACCAATTTTAGAGAGAGGGAGTTTAGCTAGTAAACTAGGGTAGTGGGGTGGGCCTTGAGGCTCACTCAACTTACCCTTTATGCCAAATTATTATCTTGATTGACTAGAAAGCTACTTTTATATATAATACATCCCTACATGTACCTAGGTAGCATTCCTATCCCGCTCACTCTACATGTAG